CAGCCTCAACTCTAACTTAAAAACAGCGTCTCCCAGCTTGGCATGTGCAGCTTCACGTCCCCCTGTTTCCTGAATTCAGTTTGGGGCTTTCAGTAGATTTTTATGAGGCTCTGTCCTGACTAGCCATATATTTATAACAACCCTTTTTGTGGGTATTTCCCCTCCCCACCAGAGCAGCACTTAACTGAGCTGGCTGCAGTCATGTTTGATGTTGTAGCCAATCCCCCATTGCTTTCTGTCCTGCATAAGTCCCTTTTTCTAATAGCTTGGCGTGGTGTGAACTGGATGCAAATCCTCTTCTCTCTAGCACAGGAGCTGACCTTATAAGACTTAAAGCAACCAGCTTCCCTCTTCCAGTAGCAGCCTTTTCTATTCCTGCTAAAGGGCTGAAATGTAATATTTAAGCTCTGCCATAAATCCTACAGTTTTGCAGAGTGTTTCTGGCCTCCTCTTACTCCACAATCTGCCTAAGTGTCTAGCAATTGGTCCATCGGCTATTTATCTTGGAAATCCTCACCGGCATCTGGAGATGTGAGGAACACAAAATGTCTGCAGGTCCTCTGCCAATTTAGGTGGGTCTCTCCTTCCCTTTGCCTCCTAGCATTTAGCTGTGTCCTGGCTAGCTCAGGCTGATATCTGGCTCCAATCTGCTTACGGCGGTTAAGACCAAATCTTGATAAGTCAGACTGTATCTATAAGACAGGGCTGCTCAGCTGTCAGGTATGGGTCCTTGCCACAGCCACACTGCTGACTGTGCCCCGGGAGGAGGCCTGGGCATGCACGAGCCCAGGAGGGCAGCTCAGGCGCCGAGGCTGGGAGCGAACCGCAGCACGGGCCAGAGGGGCTTCCAGCCCTGCGGCGAGAGGCCGGCGCACAGGCTGCAGAGCTCACCCCTGCCCCACGTTGGGCCTCAGGCTCTTCTCCGAGGGGGAGCGCTGCAGAGCCAGGCTCCCTCCGACCCATCTGTCCTCCCAGCCACGCAGCGGGAGTGGGCAAGCGTTGGCCTCCCACCAGCTCCTTCCCCCTGCAGTACCGTGGGAGCTGGACAGCCTGGTGCTGTGAGCCCTGCTGTGTTACGGAGCACACGTGCTGAAAATGGCCAGTCCTGGGGCTGTCCCAGGCCCTGCATGACAGACCGGACAGCGCTAGACCAACTGCAAATCCAGCAGGCTGGCACCCCAGTGATCCTCTGGTTTCGTCTTCAAGATGGTTTTCTATTCTTTTAGAATTCCTTGCTATGGCTCCTATTAAGTTTTGGGCTGAACAACACTTTCTTGTTTCCCCTGTTTTGTGAAAATTCTAGCCTGTGGCATGTGTGTCCCCAACCACGTCACAGACCTGGGGTCTTGCAGCTGGGCCTTCAGATCTCTCTGGACACTGTCCCAGCAAAGACTCGTTTTCAGCTTGTTTTCAACCATTTTGGAGAAATTCTCAATATTGCTCTAACTCTCTCTGCAAAGTTTACAACTTTGTTTTGTTTTGATTTTATTCTTGTGTGAATTCCTTTCACTTTTTATTGCTTCTGATTAGGTTAGATTTCTGTAAGCACCTTTGTTATCTGATCCCTCTTGCATCAAAAGAACATACAGCTCACTCTTT